ACGCGGACAGCTCTCTCTCCATCATAAGCGTCGCGGCGACGGAGGTAGGAGCGTGCAGCTCCTTCAGCACGGTCCACGCCTTTGGACCGCTATCATCAACCTCCGGCAGCAGGTGCATGACGTGGTGACGCTGGTTCAGCTCCAAACTCTGCGACATCAAGTAGTAGCCAGCCGATGCGCGCTCGTCCCAATCTTCCTGCAGCGCGGGGTCACTCGGTCTAGGCTCTTCCCCAATCATTAGTTTCAGCAATCCAATCTGACGGAAGTAAAGCTGCATTTTCCAGGCCCAATCATCATAGCCCTCACCATTGAACTTCTCGACGGTGAAATTCTTCAGCACCTCCTTGATCAGTGAGCTCTGGTTGGTTCGCGCTCCCCTTGGCGCCGAAACACCAGAACCTTGGCTGCCGCTTCGATCTTGGGCTGAAGATTCACCAGCTCCCGCCGAGGTGTTGCCCGCCATAGCTACCTATACCGAGGATCACTATAACGCAGCTCTGATACCAGCTTGTTGGTGTAAGGGCCTAATAAACTCAAGCTATTGAGACTTAATCAAACTTAAAACCTCTCCTCGGGGTCACCTCCAAGGGTCCCTGGGTGCCTGGTACAAGACCAGCCCCTATCCTCGGGTCCGAGTTTGTAGAGAGAGGAGCTAAGAAAGACTTAGCCAAAATAACAAGAGTACCTTGAACGTCGCGCAGCGTGCCGTGCAGACCGTCGATCGGATTAAGCTGAGAATTCGCTATAACGAAGCTCGCTCCAAGAGCTTTTAAATAAGCCAAGTTGCCTCGCGAAAAGTTCTGCCATTACGAAGTTATGGCTCGGACAGCGTTTGCCTAGTGTTGGAGTGCTAGCATACTAGCGTTGACTCGGGTAGCATTCCGCCGTCAAATAGTGCAGACACGAAATTCCAGTGAGGAAGGAATTCGCTTGAATCAATTGACTATATTCAGGTACAAACAGAGAAGGAATAAATAGTTCTAGCTAGCAAGGACCTTGGGAATCAACCTGGGAACAACCAGGAATGATCCCAAATAATTCCAAGCAACAGAACCAACCTGGCTGGACAAAGTAGCAGGTGGTAGGTTGGTAAACAACCTCTGGTTCTGTTTTTCCAACCTGGGAAAACAACAACCAGGTTCAGGTTCTAAAAACAGAACCTGTTTTGTCTTTGCCCAACCAGCCAAATGCTGGTTCCGCTGGTTTCCCCTGGCCTTGTAGCATGCAGATACAGACAAACAACATCCAACCTTCACCCAAATTGTACCCCTATAGTGCCTGCCCTGCTACACTATAGACAACCAAACAAAACAATACAATTTCGAGTTGGATAGAACTGGATCTGCGCAATCAATTTAACCGAACCGCAAAGCTTCCATCTTGGGTTTCTTTGCGAGCTCGTCCTTTCTGCTTGCACTATTCATAGCGCGTACAATGTTGTGCCGAAGCGCACATTGCGCGAGTATCTGCAAATGCATCAAGTGAAAATTGCGAAAGCAAACAAACACACGAACATTCCATTCACACCCAAATGCATTCGCACATGCATACTCGTACAAACAGACGGCAGGATGTCGTGCAATGTGCATTTGCACCCAACAGGGATGAGGTTGTCCCACGAGTTGTCGAGCACCGAGATGATCTTGGTGCACTGCTGGATATGCGACACGTTCCTGCCCGCCGCTGCCATCCTCGCATAAGTGTCCTTGATCTTGTCAAGGACCGGCTTCACATCGTCTCCCAGTCGCATGGAGAGGGCGGCCAGCTCCTTCTCGAATACAATCTCCATCGGCAGCGTGTTGGGCTGAACCACGTCGCGTACTAGCTTCCATGCCTTCTGTCCGGATTCATCCAGCTCCACCATGTCCTTGATATGCTGGAACATCTCGTTGTTGACCGGTTGAAGAATAAGGTCAAACAGCACCGCGCTCTTCTCAATCCACCAATCACTGGCAGCTCCTTTCTCTGGCATCTTCACTTCTCCCATTAAAATTTTCAGCAGCTTGTAGCGCTTGAACGCACTCCGCATCCGCCCGCTCCATTCCTCATAGTTGGAGCCATCCAATGCCTCAATCTTGGATGGTGGCGGCTCACTCCTCTTTTCAGCTGCATTTCCACTCCCTTCACTCATCTTTTCTTCACCCAATCTTAAGTTTCAGCTCCCCCTTTCTGTCCACAATGAAGTCCCACACAATTTTCACAAGTGTCGGCGCCAACAAAATTTTGGCAGAGTTTCCCCTTAGCGGAAGTCACATCCAACCTCTAGAACTCCACTTAGGCATGCCCACAGGCCATGGTGGGTCTAGGAGGGTCTTCACACCTCAGTAGACTCTTCACAACGTCCTCAATCAGCTCTGATACCACTTGTTAGAGACAAGGACTGAGTCTATGAATATTAGAGGCCGAAATAACTCAAAATCGTTGGACTGGAAATCTGGACAGAACTGTCGACTTCACAAGAAACATCGTCGACGAAAATATAATTGTTAGAATATTCTCAAACTCGAGTATGTTGTAGCCCTTGACTATCTTTCCAATTTGAATCGTATCAAAAGATGGAGTAAAACTCGAGTTATAAATTTCGGCGCACCATGGGATATGCACTAGCTGAAACTTAACTCAAACTCAATTGTTCATCCAAGAACCACAGAAGAGAATTAAAGTAGCTAGAAACCAGATAGGGGAGGATGAGGAGGACGAGAGGGAAAGTTCTCTAGGGAGCCCCAACCAAGAAATCCCCATATGCTCACCCAAAAGATTCCCTCCCTATAGGAACCCAACCTTCACCCTTGTCTTTTCCCAACCTCTCAAATCAACCTCACCCCAATTTGGCCACACTTGCCAACCTGGTTTGGTTTCTCCCAACCACTTGGCATCATCTACAGTAGAAGTGACGAATTTCCCAACCCCCAAAAGTCTATACCCCATATAGAGTCAACCCACAAACTCCCAAAGTCGCCGCAACCAAATATGAAAAACATACAAACTTCGAACGTTCGTAACTTTCTCGCCCGTGGTCCGAACGCGACTATTCTTGGTTCGTCGGAAAGCTCTTGAGCAGAGAAGTCACTTCAGATATCTGCTCAAGCCAAATAACATTCCCACACACTCAGGCAATCCAATCCATGCCAAACACAATTCTTATGCACGCGCACAATACGCATGCAACGTACGAGCAAAGATGGGAGACATACAGACGTGAATGCAAATGATTGCATCACACAACATGTATGTGCTGTCCAAACTAACCAGCAAACCAAAATGCAACAATACTCTAAATCAAGCGGGTCTTCAAATACTTACATAACACTGCGGACGTGGAGCTGGTCTATGGAGGATGGGTCATGGTGCTCCGCGAATTACACGGAACCCGAAATATGCAAATGAAATGGGTGTAACTCAATTGGAGGCTACGTATTTACCTTAGGAAGGGCTGCTGTCAGTTGAAGGATAAAGGGGAAACAGTCATTGCTACACCAACAATTGAAGCCGAGTACATTGCAATCTTTGAAAGGGCAAGAGAAGTTGTTTGCCTTGTGTTGCCTCTAACCGATTCCACCAAGTGCAGCATCTGTAAATAATCAGCTGTCAAATGCTCTGCCATTGCACTTACACATGTGGCGTTATCATAAAGCGCAGCCCAAATTAGACATCACATAACTCCACACATCTCACTCATGTGATAGTTGCTATGAGCGTGCTCACAAACGTTCACAACTACACACGAGTGAGAGGGGGAGTGGGATGTAGAGTAACTTGGTGTGCAACGGATCAAGATGTGCATTTTCATTTTCATTTCCATCATTAGCACAGTCAGTACATGCGTATCATGAAGACCTATGTTCAGCATTGAACAAGACAAGGGATGCATGTTGCTGGAGTGCTCCAACTGCTGCTGTCTGCGAAAAGCCATTGCTACAAGTTTACCTGCTGGTTTCAGGGGAAGCGATAAAAGAGAGCATGAGTTCATATCAGTCAAGAATGGCACACAAGGCAAGGAGTGGGCAGCATTACACCATGAGTAAAATCAGAAGGCAATATTGCTAGAGTGAGTAGAGGACTACAAGGTCATGAGTGGAAAAGCAACTTATCAATATCAAAAGACCAGCTGCTGTTACAAGCAGCCAACTGATGCTAAAGCAAGCCGCAATGTGGAGCAGCTGACTACCTGGTAGAGCAACTAGCCGCAAGGTGCTGCTGGTGCAGGCCACCAAGTGCTGGTGCAATCGCCAACCGTTGCTGGAGCGCCTACTGCAGCTGCTCACGTGCTCGAACTGGTGTGAAGAGGGGGCGCATCACATGACATGAGAAGAATTATATGCTATTTAATGGTGTGAATTCTTGCACAAACTAATGAGGAACATGAGGCAGCCGAGTCACGCAAGGGGAAAGCCGTGTCTATCTCACTATGGTACCGCTGCAGAGCGCTAGGTGTTGCGCAAGCTGTTGGGGGCCAGGTGTTGCCGCCGCTGCTACCATGATGCTCCATCCGTCCGCCTCTGCTCCAGCAGGCCGCAACCTCTTGTAAAGGGTGCACGTCTCCGCCATGGCTACAGCTTTAACTTCGGCACGCCCAATGTCACTCAATTTCCTGCCTGATGGCACTTTTTCTTGGACCAAACAGCTCATCTCGGCTAGCGCTTTAAGAGGATACCGTTCTTGTGTTCAGACAGTGAACATTGGTGAATCTTACCTAGTCGCTGGTACTACCAAGGTCCAGGCCATATCAGCAGGCTCCTTGGGTTTCTCATGGTTTCCTGGTTTTCGGTTGCTGCATGGGGGTTGGTCAAAGGTTCCTGACCCGCCAGATGTGCAGATTGCGTTATCTACTTCATCGGGAACGTTTTCCAGTTCTGGTTTTATCATCAAGCAACATCATACAGCAGTATCGAGCTACTTAAACAATGGCTATGACACTCAACAGATCATATTGGTGCTCAGAGGAGGTTTTTTTATCAAGCTTTGTTCCAAGCTTGTTTCTCTCATCTCATCATCGCACAATGGCGGGACGATGTCGCACTGGACAGGGTGGTGGAAAGGCTGGAGGGAAGGTTAATGGTACTGCTGGAAACTCCCCTCTGTCAAACACGGAACACTCTCCTGAGAAAAGTCCGCTGGTGTCGGCACAAGCCTCCCCTCAAGCTCTTCCCAAGACGGCGGTCGACGTGCTGGGTGACGTGGTGAAGATCTCCTTGCAGGAACGCTTGTCTGCTGTGAAGGACAACGGGCTTAAGGACAACGAAGAAGGGAACGTGTCTCAGCATCAGCAGCCGGGCTCGTCAGGCGCTGGGTCATCTGATCGTCAGCCGGCACCTGTGACGGAGGCAGCGGGATGCAGCAAGTACGTGGTTGAAGATAAATGCTGGGACAGTGACGACGACGATGACTTCGACCCGACTGCGGTCAATCTCCTCGCAACACAAGTCAGCTTCCCGATCACGCTCCTGATTCCTATCAAGTGGGAAAGCGAGGTCCCGAAGCTAAAGCATACGGTCATTGCGCACCTAGATCACTGGAAGGCCTCGTTGACGGCTGACGCTCAGAAGACTATGAGGTATCGGGAACTGCTCCCGGCATGGTTGTCTAAGAAAAGGTTCGGCAGGCTTCAGGTCACTTTTCAGCACGCGAGTGATGCAGCTTTTGTTTGGATGCGATCGATTGAACATAATGTGGGCAAAGGTGTTACTCTGACGCTTGATTGGCAGCACCCGGAGAACGCGACTTACAGGCGTGAGCGTCAGCTGAACCCGGAAGCGGTGGAAGTGTTGTTAAAGTCCGTCCCGGCCGGCGTCTCTCCAGAGCTGATTCGCAAGATGCTGACGGAGGTTACGCTGCTCAAGAAAGGGAAAGCCGCTTTCAGCAAAGGTGTGGGCTTCCACAGAGTGCAAGACCCTATCACTGGAATGGACACTGACAAGGTGCGGGGTCTGGTGATTGAGCACGAGAATGATGAAGATCCATGGCGTCATGCGGTTGCGGACTTGTCCAATCCCGGTAGGAAGCTGATGGTGCATTACCCCGCATTCACTTGCAATTACTGCAAGGGCCAGCACATGACGCAGTTCCACAATGCTTATGTCACGGAGCGTCAACCCAGCATCGGCAAATGGAACTTGTATGTCAGAAAGGTCAATGAGATCAACGGTATCAGTGTCTCGTTTTTTGTACCTTTGTCAATCCAGTTTTTTCTTCCGGCTTTTACTGACATCCCGGCTCAAACCCCTCCACGCAGCTGCATCGCTGAAAGTAACAGCGTTTACAAAAGACATTCTCAAGGACCCGACCATAGTTTCCACCTCCACAGGGGGGTCGCGGGAGGACTGGGTATGCATGGTTGCTGCCTGCGACAAGGCGCAAGGCACCAGCTTCGAGCAGGCATCTGCTCATGTCGCGTCGCTCCGTCACAAGACGAACCTGGCGAAGCCGGGAGCTGCTACCCGTGCCAGCAAGGGTTCCCTCAACCACGCCGCACTTTGGAAGGATTTCGCCAAGTAGCTGCCTGGCTGGACAAGTGCGGTATGTTGTTCCGGCGTTGCACATCTGCAGGAGAATAGAGGGGGGTTGGATGGTTGACTTTTGTTTGTTATGGCAATAGTAGCAGTAGCGATTGTGTGTTAGGTGACCTGTACCAAGACTCAGCCCGTCGATGCAACGGGGCTTCTCACCAGTTTTTAAATGAATAAGAGGAACTCAATCGTTTTCTGCGAGCTTAACATTAACGGGCTCGGCAGCGCGGGGAAGCAAATCAAATGTAAAGACTGGCTAAGGAACAAGGCGGACATTGCGATACTCACAGACACGCGAATTCAGGCAGATCACAACTTCTGGACACAGTTTAAGCCGTCCACGGTGTTGGCTGTGGAGCCAGCTGGGTCGGCAGGAGGTGTGGCGGTGTTGAGCTTCGCGCCTGGGGTGGACTTCACGAGCACGTATACACATGCATCAGGAAAGCTGGCAGGGGTGGTGATCCGTTGGGGTGACCTGGAGTTGATCCTGATTGCGATATACTCACCGGCGCAACCGGAGAACAGGGCTCCCTTTTACAGGGACTGCCTGGAGCCTTTTTTGAACACCTTACCAAAGTTGCCGAACATCCTGGTGATGGGTGACCCGAACGTAGTAGAGGACCCAGCGTTGGACAAGTCATCAGGAGTGGGGTCGTGGAGTAGAGAACCGGAGGCTGATGGGGTACTAGGCGAACACCCCACTCACTGATGCCTTCCGCTTTACGCATCCTGGGAAGAGGGAGTACACTTTCCACATGAGGTCAAAGGGAGTGAGCACCAGAATTGACCGCGCGTTGGTGACGCAACCGCTGTTGAGCAAGCTGGTGAAGGTGCAGCACGCAGACATCACGAACAAGATGATGGACCACTGGAGTGCGGTGGTGGTTGCGCTTGAGTTGTCGGAGGTGGTCGATAGAGGGCCCGGCATCTGGCGGTTAAGGGCTGCGCAGACAAAAAAGAGAGGGGTCAGAAATCGGGTGGAGCGGGTGCTCAAGGACGCAGGCGGGGATCTCAGCAGGATGCTGCCCAGGCTGACTGCGTGCCTGCGGGCGTACACATGGGAGGAAAAGAAGAGGGTTGGGGCGACAAAAAGACAACTGGAGAAGGAGGTGAAGATCTTCAAACAGCGGCTGTCGCAAAACCCGAACTGCAAGCGAACAGGAGCAATCCTACTCAAGAAAGAGGAGCTACTCGATGCGTATGAAAAAAGCAACCATGAGAAGCTGCAGGAGTGGCTTGGGGTAAAAGCGGAGCTGGATGGGGAGACGACAACCGGTTTCCTGTCCGGGAAGGTGAAAGTGCGTAAGGCAAAGACGGAAATGTCAGTTGTTCATTTCAAGGGAAGAACTCACTCGGGTGCAAGGGAGGTGCTCGTGGCGGCGACAGATTTCTTCAGAGACTCCTTCGGCGGGCGTGGGGAGACAAGTTCACGTGTGTCGGAGCCGAGAGCTATGAGCCGGACGCTATGCGAAGCTTGCCGAAATGCACTCAGCGCACCATGGTCGGAGGAGGAAGTTCAGACGGCGGTGCGTGAGCTAGCCTCGGGGAAGTCACCCGGGCAGGATGGCCTTCCTAAGGAGCTATTTGAGCATAACTGGGACCTGCTCGGCCCAGTGTTGATGAAGTTTGTTGGCGATTTCACGCGAACGGTGGAACTTCTTCGTGAAATCTCAACTGCAGTCACGATCCTACTGCATAAGAAGGGGAGTAAGGAGGAGTTAGGGAACTACAGGCCAATCACGCTGCTGAGCACGATCTACAAGGTGCTGGCGAAAGTAATGGCGACAAGGTTTAAGAAGGTCCTACACGAGGTGATCTCGGAGGATCAGGTGGGGTTCTTACCTGGTCGGAAACTGGAGGACGCCGTTGCGGTGGTGGCGGATGCGATTGAGGTAGGGGACAGCAGCGGGAAGGATTGGATCCTTCTAATGGTTGGTTTTCAGAAGGCCTTCAACTCCATCTCGAGGCCTTTCCTTTTCCGTACGCTGCGAGGGATGGGATTTCCGGAGAATTTTGTGTCTTGGGCGGAAGGCCTGCACACAGGAGCAGGAACCCTCCTGCACATCAATGGGTGAACAGGCAGCAGAGTTGCGGTGGAGAGGGGAGTGTGGCAAGGCTGCCCGCTGGCGCCGTACCTTTTCTTGTGTGCGCTGGAGCCGCTCTATCAGGATTTTGCGCAGCGGAGGCTGGGCATCGGTAACGGGGGGGGGGGGGGGGGGGGGGGGGGGGAAGGCTGGCGTATCTGGGGTACGCTGATGACACTTCGCTCCTGCTGCATGGGGAAGAGCAGTTGGCAGCCGCAGCTGAAGCGCTGGAAATTTTCGGGGAGGCATCGGGGCTAAAAGTAAACAAAGATAAAACGGTGGTCTTTCCGTTCGAGAAGAACAGAAGGAAACTCCCGCCGGCGGGCCTGGAATACAAATGGGGTGACAAGGATGCACCAGAGAGGCTGCTGGGTGTCTGGATCACTCCGAACGGTGATCCATTCCCGTCCTGGAAAAAGGCGTTGGACAGGGCGTGCAAAGAATTAGCCAAATGGGAGATTCAGCACCTAACAATGTTGGCAAAGGTTACGATAATCAACGGATACATCTCGCTCATCTTCATGTTTCAAGCGTATATCTACCCCCCGCCGGAGGAGATATGGACGAAGATCAAGAGGATATGTCACAATTTCGTGTCGGGAGGCGAGGCGACGGATGAGAAGGCTTTCATTTTCTGGAACTACGAGGTGGTCTGCACACCAAAGGAGGAGGGGGGGCAGGGGATGATCTGCCCCAAGAAACAATTTGACAGAATAGTGGTGCAAAATGTCAGGCGCATGATGTTGCAAGTGTTGGGTGCAAATTCATATTGCACGACATCCTGCCGTCTGTTTGTACGAGTATGCGTGTGCGAATGCATTTCGATGTGAATTGAAAGTGTGTTCGTGTGTTTGTTTGCTTTCGCATTTTTCGCTTGATGCATTTGCAGGTACTCGCGCAATGTGCGCTTCGGCACAACATTGTACGTGCTATGAACAGTGCAAGCAGAAAGGAGGAGCTCGCAAAGGAACCCAAGATGGAAGCTTTGCGGTTCGGTTAAATTGATTGCGCAGATCCAGTTCTATCCAACTCGAAATTGTACTGTTTTGCTTGGTTGACTATAGTGTAGCAGGGCAGGCACTATAGGGGTACAATTTAGGTGAAGATTGGATGTTGTTTGTCTGTATCTGCATGCTACAGGGCCAGGGGAAACCAACGGAAACCAGCGGAACTAGCATTTGGCTGGTTGGGCAAAGACAAAACAGGTTCTATTTTTAGAACCTGAACCTGGTTGTTGTTTTCCTAGGTTGGAAAAACAGAACCAGAGGTTGTTTACCAACCTACCACCTGCTATTTTGTCCAGCCAGGTTGGTTCTGTTGCTTGGAATTATTTGGGATCATCCCTGGTTGTTTCCAGGTTGATTCCCAAGGTCCTTGCTAGCTAGAACTATATATTCCTTCTCTGTTTGTACCTGGATATAGTCAAATGATTCAAGCGAATTCCTTCCTCGCTGGAGTTTCGTTTCTGCGCTATTCGACGGCGGAATGCTACCCGAGTCAACGCTAGTACGCTAGCACTCCAACGCTAGGCAAACGCTGTCCGAGCCATAACTTCGCAATGGCATAATTTTTCGCGACTTGGCTTTTTTTAAAGCTCTTGGAGCGAGCTTCGTTATAGCAAATTGTCAGCTTAATCCGATCGACGATCTGCACGGCACGCTGCGCTACGTTCAAGGTACTCTTGTTATTTTGGCTAAGTCATTCTTGACTCTCTCTCTCTACAAACTCGGACCCGAGGATAGGGGCTGGTCTTGTACCAGGCACCCAGGGACCCTTGGAGGTGACCCCGAGGAGAGGTTTAAGTTTGATTAAGTCTTAATAGGTAGCTATGGCGGACAACACCTCGGCGAGACCTGGTGAATCTTCAGCCCAAGATCGTAGCGGCAGCCAAGATTCTGGTGTTTCGGCGCCAAGGGGAGCGCGAACCAACCAGAGCTCGCTGATCAAGGAGGTGCTGAAGAATTTCACCGTCGAGAAGTTCAATAGTGAGGGCTATGATGATTGGGCCTGGAAAATGCAGCTTTATTTCCGTCAGATTGGATTGCTGAAACTAATGATTGGGGAAGAGCCTAGACCGAGTGACCCCACGCTGCAGGAAGATTGGGACGAGCGTGCCTCGGCTGGCTACTACTTGATGTCGCAGAGTTTGGAGCTGAACCAGCGTCACCACATCATGCACCTGCTACCGAAGGTTGATTGCGGTCCATAGGCATGGACCGTGCTGAAGGAGCTGCACGCTCCTACCTCCGTTGCCGCGACACTCATGATGGAGAGGGAGCTGTCCGCGTTGCGCTTGAGCGAGGGAGAGCCGGTGCAACCAGTCCAAGGCAAGATGCGCGACCTCTACGCGAAGCTGGCGATTGCGGGAATCACCTACCCGGAGCAGACCAAGTGCCTGAAGATGCTCTCGCTGCTGCCGGAATTGTGGCTTCAATTCACGAGCGGATTGAGCCTGCCGCAGAACCAGAGCTTGTGGACGCTCGAGTGGGTGCAGACGAAGATTCTGGAGGAGGACTTCCGTCGCCGCCAACTGAGGGGTGGAGACGATGGCAGCAGCGGCTACAGGATGCAAGGGAGCCGACGTGGCAGAGGTCGTGGTTTCAGTGGTGCTGGGTGTGGTGCAAAGAAGGACGACGACTCCAACGACCAACAAGGAGGTATCGGTTGGGGCCGCGGTGCGAAATCTGGACGTGGGGGCAAGTCGGGTGCTGGTGGCAAAATGAAAGGGAATTGCTGGTATTGTGAGAAGGAAGGGCATCCCTGGTTTTTGTGCTATAAGAAACCCGATGGATGGACCCCCCAGAATCGTCACCAAGATGGCGGCGCGCGGAGGAACCAGAAAAACGGCGCAAGCATGGTCGCTGATTCGTCCGACAACAACCCGAAGAGGAACGGTGGTGCGGAGAAGAAGAAAGAGCAAACCGCTGGCCAGTTCTTCTATGTTGGAGAGCAGGGGGAGCAAGGAGACGCCTCTGCCAAGGTTGGATTAGGTGTTGGACACGGGCGCTGCTTGGACGATGACGCCGCGCAAGGACCTGCTGGACGACGTACGCGCTGCACCGATTAACGAGGTGTGCTCCGCCTCTGGACACGCGCTGAAGGTGGCTGGTGCAGGACGAGCTGCGTTTAAGGGAGCGGATGGCAAGCCGGTGGTGCTGCACGACGTTCTCCTCGTCCCCGACCTCAAGGCCAACCTCATCTCCCTCCGTAAGCTTGCCAAGGCTGGGGTGAGCACTAGCACGGATGGGGCTCGCACGTACAAGGGGCAGCTGGGCAATCGGGTGCTAGGGGATCTGCACGAGAGCAACAACGTGTACAGATCCATGTGGCAGCTGCCGGCGTTGGCGTGGCACGGTGGGGGGCAGGCTAGAGAGGGGTCTGCATCCCAGGGGGAGTGCAATGCCGTTGGAGGGGTTGGCGTGAAAGTGTCGGCCAGATGGTCCACGTGGACTTCGTGGGGCCGCTGCCGGTGCAAGGGCGCAAGGGGGAGCAGTTTTTTCTTACCATTGTGGATGATTGGAGCAGACTCATGTGGGCGTATCCGCTGAAGCAGAAGGACCACGCCGCCTCTACGATACGGGACGATTGGCTGCCGTTCGTGGAGAAGCAGGCGGAGTGTGTAGTGAAGCAGATTAGGACAGACCGGGGTGGTGAGTTCCTTGGAGCTAAAATGACGGCCTGGCTCAAGAAGCAGGGCATCCAGAGAGAGCTGACTACGAATTACACCCCACAGTCCAACGGTGTAGCAGAACGGGCAAACCGGACCATTCTAGAGACAGCTAGGGCGCTGCTCATAGAATATGGGCTGAGCAATTCTATGTGGCCTCATGCTGTCCGGCACGCTACCGTCGCTAGGAACAGGGTGCTCACCAAGGTTGGGGATGACTCGTGGGTGCCTTTGGAGAGGTGGCTTGGGAGGAAGCCGCCGGTGGACATGTTGAGGGTGTTTGGTTGCTCGGCAGTCGCCCACATCCCCAAGACCTACTGTAGTAAGTTGGGGGCTGGCTGCTGAGAGCAAGGGATGGCTGCTGTGGGAACCATCCAAGGGTGTGTTGTTTGACAGCAGGGATGTGAAATTCATTGAGGGCATGATGTATGGGAGCTGGGAGAAACAGCCGGAGGCCCGGGTGTCCCAGCAGATGGAGCAGATCACCATGCAGCTGGACCTGACTCCTAGTGTGGAGGCAGCTGCGGGGAATGGTGATGGAGAGAAGGTACAGGAGGCACCTGCTGGTGGAGAAAATGGTGTGTAAAACTGGCGGCAGCACTAGTGGAGCTGCTGGATCCGAGGGAGGAGAGCAGCAGTAGAGAAACACTAAGAAGCCGAAGGGTGTCGTTATGAGGAGATGGGAGATACCCGTCTCCAGGCCAGGACGTACTTGTATGGTCACTAAGAAGCTGACTGCAGGATCAGGTGTAGCGGAGCAGCAGCTTGGGACCGAGGAGGCAATGCTGATTCTACCTCATGGCTATGATCCGGATGAGGAGGATGAACCTGCAGACTGTTTTCTTGCCCCTGCACCAGAGGAACCAGCTAGCATGGAGGAGGCACTAGCTGGACCAGATAGGGACAAGTGGCTGGCTTCTAGGGATGCTGAGTACCAGAGCCTGCTAGAAAATGGGACATGGGATCTGGTGGTGCTGCCTGATGGGAAGAAAGCGATACAATGCAAGTGGGTGCTGAGGATCAAGACCGATGACAAGGGGCAGGTCACCATCTACAAGAGTAGGCTGGTGGCTAAGGGGTTTATGCAGAAGGAGAAGCAGAACTTTAACGAGATATTTGCTCCCACTGCCAAACCCCCTACCCTCCGTGTCTTGTTGGCAGATGAAGTCGTTAGTGGGAAATTCATCATTCAGATGGTTATATCATCGGCATTTCTCTAACCACGGGATTTTAGAGGAGGAGGTGTTCATGACGCAGCCGCCTGGGTATGAGGATGGTACGGGCAGGGTGTGCAAGCTGAAAAAATCTATCGACGGCTTGAAGC